GACTAGGGGGGCAGTGTCCCCTGCTCTCTCTGCTTCCAAACTCAGCCAGGATGCCCAGGAGGAATTGTATTACAACTTCTGAGAGTGCCATTCTGATCCTAGAGTGATATGAAATTTACAGCAGGTACCACATTGCAAGTAGCAGCACAACACCAGCTGTAAGAGAAATACTAAGAGACTAAATTTAAAAAAAACAGGCCGAAAACAGGGTTTTTTAAAAAAGATTCAGTTTGGGGGAGGGGGGGAACCCAAAAAACTATTTTTAATAACAGTGGACAGCAAAATAAGAGGTGCACACAGTGCAATAAGGAAGTGAAAAAAGTCACTGCAAGACTGGGCTACATACAGAGGTAGCCCTCATCATGGAGCAGGGAGCTAATGGCTTCTACAGAATGGTGCAACCATTTTTGGAACACAGCAAGAGCTTAAGAAATTGGAGGGAGCTTTGGTAAGAGTGGCAACAAAATACTGAAGGCTCCATGAACTGATTTACCAGGAAATATTTTTAAAGAGTGATATATGTAGCTTGTGTATGAATGACTAAGTGAGGAGAAGGAAGCTAGTAACTGTCTATAAGGAATTTACATTTTTGCTACCTCACCACAGGGGGTTCTGAAAAGGTGATCACCATACAGGAGATCATCTTTCCAACAGCCATCACAATAAGGAATAGATGCAACTGCCAGATGTGTGAGAGGTGCCTGAATTCTTCTTAATAGTCTTCAAACATGGAGCAGCAGTTCTCCAGAGATTGTTTGATGTTTGGGCAAGCCCAAATGGTGTCTGAATAATTTAAAAAAACCCTGAGAGATGGAAACTGTTGGTCTGGAGATTAATGGGGAAAATTCAACCTGGTACCTCTCCCTCCAGCAGGTCTATGTTGGTGGATTAAGAAAACTACCCTGAAGTGAGGCAAATTTCATGTGGGAACTAGTGAAATCTTATCCAGCTTCAACAAGTAACTGTGAGGTTGAAACAGTTTCCTAGGACAGAGCCCTGGCGAGATCACCTAGGAAGTGATTCCCAAGTGGATCCCCTCCTCCTCTGGGCTGCTCAGCTGCAGAAGACCCTTAGAATCAAGGACGGGCCAAGATACAATAGCCATCAAGCTTGTGGCTTTTTGAAATCTGATGCAACAATAGTTGCATAGATGCTAGATTCTGGAATGCTGCCCCAGTGAGGAACATTTGGGGTAAAGCTTATTTTATTGTTCATTATTTTCCATTAACAGACACAAAGGATATGTCTACACTCGTGGCTTCTTGTGCGAGAAATATGCAAATGAGGCTAAGCATGGAATATCGCCAAGCCTCATTTGCATACCTAATGAGCCACTATTTTTGTAGAAGAGGCTCTTGCGCCAGAAGGAGCTGTCTACACTGCCCCTTCTTGCGCAAAAAAAACCCTCTTGTGCAATGCCATTATTCTGAAAATAATCAGCGTAGGCACAAGAGGGTTTTTCTTGTGCAAGAAGGGGCAGTGTAGACAGCTCCTTCTGGCGCAAGAGCCTCTTCTGCAAAAATAGCGGCTCATTAGGTATGGAAATGAGGCTCGGCGATATTCCACGCTTAGCCTCATTTGCAAACTGTAGTCCATCTAACCTGGAATAGAAATATGTACTGATAGATTTACACACTGAACTTGTGTGAAATTAAAAAAAAAAAATCAATATATTGACAAAATATTGGAAAGTAGCTCCTTTCATCTATCGCAGTCCACCACATAATATTCACACACCCTTTCCCCACATGATCAGTCCCCAAAACAAGAGAAGTGTCCATATCCCTTAGGCCACAAAAGATGGCTCAGCCTTATCTGTTGCATAAAGTGGAGTAGTTTATTTCTGAGTTGTATAAGCAGGATTTGAAGAGAGTACAGAAAAAAAGCAAAAAAGGCTGCTTGCTGGATTCTAAGAACCATTTGCACTTCATTTGAGAATAACCTCCTTTCTGGCTTAAGAGGCTTGGAGAAGCCAAACAACTGTGACTAAAAATTAAGTGCTAATGACAAGTATGGAGAGTATCACAAGGTAAGGAAGATGCCCACTGAGATATCCACTGAACATGACCATAAGGTTTGAAGTCCTGACTCCACTGCTAGAGATTAAATCCTTTGCATTTAAGGCACTGAAGTTTTCCTCAGACCTTTGTTCCACAATACAGTAGCTCAGCAGATAATTATACTGGGCACACCTGCTCTCAAGTCTGTTGAGGAAGGGTATCTTTCCTGGAAATGGATAGCGGTTAGTCTCAGAGTACTCTTGCAGTAGAAGTCTGGGAGATAAGCGTCCAATCTTGAAACTATAGCAAGGACACGTGTTCTCTATTACACACTGTGCATACTCCAGCCTTGTCATGCTTCCTATTACTGGGGGTATTCCATTAGTTCTCAAGGTCATTTGGTTCTCCAGCAACTGAATTAGGAAAACAGTGTTTCCTTTTCCAACTTTATTTTGGGGAGGTGAGTGGGAGAGGAGATAGGATGCTACAGGGGCATCTATGGGGGAGAATTTACAAAAGTAAGGGTCACACTTGCTGTATCTGAAGACAAATTCCTACCACTGAAGGGAGGAAGAGTGGGGGAAGAGAGTCCACTGCGCACACACGTTTCCTTCTTTACCCAAGTAGCCAGAGCAAGGATCACTTTGAAGTTCCCCTGAAATTTGTTTAGAAAAGTTGGAATGTTAACTCAAATAACAATGAACTATTTTGAATTTTTCTACAGGACATATCAAGACCCTTGCTCCCACATTGCAGATGTAACTTCATAATGGTTCTGTGGGAATCCAACTCACCTTAAAAAAAACCCCAAAAAACCTCAAACGAGTTTTACTTGATTTATTATAAACAAAAGCATCTCCAGGTTTGGATTATACATATATTTAGGAAATAGTGAACAAAATTTGTTTTAGGGTTAAATAAAATAGTATTTAATACCCAGTTACAGCTCAGAGATTACAATGCCTGAAATTTTAAAAATATAATTAGGAAGATAAGAAACGTAAGATAAAAGTGGACAGAAAAAAAAAATCACTGTCTTCTGGATGCTATCAAGAGCTTCTCAGACTGAAATTTTAACTGGGAGGGAAAGTATTAAATATTCAGTATTTAGGATACAAAATAAGCTTATATACAGCTGTTTAAAACAAATCTGAATCTACTAGTCATAAAAATACACAATTCTCTGGGTACATAGGACAGCTCCATCTCTCACTTTGGGTGAAAAGTAAATACTGTCAAGATGAATTTTCTCCCAAGAATAACTTTTAGATCCTTGGGGCTTTACCAGTGAAGAAGGAAAACAACAATATCGGTACAAGAAATTATTTATATTAACCAACAAACAGGCAGATTGTGTTTCCTATAAAGTAATGCTGACTTTGTGCCTATAACAAATGGATCTTTCAAAAAAAGATCTTGTTTGCAGCTGCCATCAATGTTTCCTTTGCTGAAAAACTTAAGCCTGTTCAGATGATTTTGGTTGCAATATAAAGACAAACTCTCATTAGCAAGAGAGGCACAAGGTGACTTCTACTTTGGGGTAATGCAACTATGGAATACTGACTTTTTTTGTAAGCAAATTAACAACAAGAGTATTAACTGCATAAACATTTAAGTTTCATGCTTTGCTTCCATCAGCTCACTAGAAAGTGTGATTTAAAGAGAAATAACAGTAATAATGCTACATTAGGAATAGATTCAAGCAGACTATTAGTTTAGACTGGAATGAAACACCATAACAGACAATAGCTGGCTGATTTTGTACGCAAAAACTACGTACACACTGAAAGTAATCAGCCCAATGATTTTTCTGGGCAGACACAAAAAAACAAACAAAAAAACCCTTTCTGAAGTAGCATTGTGGGGTTCAGGTTTACAGTCTCGATTATTTCTCCAAGAGTTGCTCAGAAAACCGTATTTTTAATTGCAACTAACGTCTAGCCCTGCAAATTTATCTTGAGATGTTATTAAGCAGGGAGGAGAGTGGCAGATTTTAAAAGAGAAGACGTTTTGAAACAAAATAACCCCCCACCCACCGCACAAACTGTATGCTGTGCCCTGTACATTATCAGACTTTTGGCCAAAATTCACATTTGTGCATGCAGAATCTCCAGTCTCATCTTTAATGACCCACAGGTTTTGTGCTGGCTCTCCACCTAGAGGAGGATTTTATCTTGGTGAATAATTTAGTTGATATATGAGCCAGAATGGAATGCAGCTTACTCTCTTATAACACCACAAAGCCAGTAAAACAAACAAACAAAAAAGTTGTAAAAATGCCTCAGGCCTGATTCTTCTTAGTTACCCTGACCAAGAAATCAGGAATAGCTTCACTGCACTTAATGGAGTTAGACTGGTGTAAAATTTGTCTGAAACAGACTTAAAGAATAAAAAAAAAAAAAATCAGAACTGAAAGAAACACTTCCAGTACTGCCTCTGGAATGTGCACGAGACAGACACTTCAGTAGGGAAGCACAGTGAGCATGACAATCTCTGCCTTTTGATGTTATTGTCCTCAAAGTTCTTTTTTAAATGGTCAGTTCTGGTAGTGACAAGTTGGTACTTAAGAGGTCTAGTACGGTGCTATTTACTCACAGGGAGAGCCTTCATTGACTTGCAGAGTTTTTACTGAACAAAGAGCTCAGGCACATACTATAAAAAAGGAAAGAAACTATCTGTTGCTGCAGTTTGCCTGGCAATAATCCCATTTACTCTGCCAAACACAGTCTGATGCTAGGTTGAAAGAAATGAAATGCCTTGAAAACAAAAGCTTAAATTTAGTCCTTCTGTACTGCCCAGGTAATGCAACGACAATACTACAGAAATTGGACAATACATTCATTTGCTAAGATTACAGTAAACAGAGAGTTCTGCGGACAGGGAAACTCCTAATCCATATTCAAGCACTCAAACACTTCAGTGTAATTTTAAAATAAAGTTCTACAATAGGTAAACATGATCTCTGAATAAAATATTTTCACTTTTAAAATGTTTACCTACTTTTGCGGTGATCTACTATCAACTTCAGCTTTCAGTCGCAAATTCTCTCTCAAAAGGCCACCATTTTCCAGTCTGAGTTTCTTATTTGCCTAAGGAAAAAAAAAAGGTAAAAAATAATTAAGTATACAGTGAAACAGAACAGGCTTATAATATTTATAAGCCAAGCTGTTTGCGCTTTTTAAAGAGACAGCATTAGAAAACTGTAACTAGGAAACAACCCTCAGACAGGGACACCACTTAAAAATTACCCTGGGAAATGGCTTGCAAAACTGAATAGAGAACAGACATTTTTTATTTATATCCCCAAAATATACTGGAAGGCTCCTATCTAGGGAAATAAGCAGAGCTACGTTCGTTAGTAGAGAGAGTCATTAAGGGGATGTACTAATGGCAATTCCATGTTTTTTTTCACATGACTAAATACTTAAGTACATTAACATTACAATGTGCAGGTATCAGCAAAACTAATGTTGAACAGCTTTTCTCCCCTCCAAACTAGAGTAAGATTACTCTGGGTCTAAATAAAATAAAATAAAAAAAGCTTAGCTATCCTATGGATGTGAATCTTCTATGACAAACTATTTGCCATCTTCCTTCAGCATAGCTTCCATGATGTTAGGATTAAGACTCTTGATTTACTGCATCGCTCGCTCTTTGAATTGAGGTCAATTTCTCCTTCTCAGTTCAGTGGACAGTCTTGTTAACAAGATACTTCATGTCAAAAGAAGTTTTCCTGCTGCAATGTTTTTAGAGCAAGTACATTTTTTTCCAAGTCTCTTAACTAATACTAAGGCCTAAAAAGAGGGAGAAGAAACTCCTTGAAATCTGAAAAGTATGTTGATGATCCAGTAGACTTATGATTCATAATCTTAGAGGCATGAATGTTCACAGTTTAAATCCACAATTGTAGAATGATACAATTCCCCTCCCCCCCCCAAAAAAATCAGTAAGTTCAGTGATCAAAACCCTTCTGCCTCGAGTTATGCACCGGACTCTGAACAGTCTTCTACAGATTGGACACCTCTAGTCGGGCATCCTCAGGACCTGACTGGTGCTGAACTAGGGATTTTGCCGGACTGTCAGAGATCAGTATTGTCTTGCAGCATTACCAACACTTCTACAGCTTAATGGGCTCTTGTTTACCCCCTCAATATCTTCTAAGAGCTAAATAATATATAGCACAGAACACTAAAAGCCAGAACTTTATGGGACTGCGGGAAACGTGGTCACACCCATGGTAAGTGGACACTAGCTAACTAAAATCATGCTGAACTGTGGATTTTTGCTGGACCAGAGTAGGGATGTGAAAGGTTAACTGGTTAACCAGTAAGCATCAACCTTAATGGTGATGCTTACTGGTTCTGGATAACCAGCACAGATGGAGCAGCTCCCACTCACCGTGGGCAGGAGGCTGCTCTAGCTTCAAAGGCCCTACCACGGAAAGGTAGGGACATGCTCTGGATGTCCAGGGCAGACTCTGTCTGCGACAGGCTTGGGCATGTTGCAGCAGCCCCTGTCTGAACTGCTCCAGCCCGGCCACAACTGCATGTTTAACTGGTTAGTCAATTACATGGAATTTTACATCCCAAGACCAGAGAATGCCAGACTAGAGAGGTTCAACCTGTATTTCTTTTTCCTTCTTTATTTTCAGAGTGAATACTAAGCACTTATAACTTCTAAATACTGCAAAAATTCCAACACACCAAATCCTGCTGTTATACCAATTTGACTACAAGGCAGTTCCATTGTCATTAATGAAGTGGTTTTGGATTTCCATAAGCGTAACTGAATGCAGAATTTGGCTCTGATTAAATACGCTTTCAATTACACTGATCAAAACCAGAACAAACTCCATCAATGGCAATGGAACTGTCCTGGATTTATAAAGGTATATAGCAAAATTTGGCCCTGAGATTCTTCATAGCACTCAGAAGGTATAAATCCTTAGTATTAATTACACGCTAATATCCCTAGTTGTTAAATGATTAACAGACAGGATTAATGGATAAAACCAGGCTTATCAGTTACTCCTAATGACTACACCTCCCACCCCTTGATGCCTCTGTATTAGAGGCAGCAAGGGGGGGTGGGGAGGATGAGGTAGGAGCTGGGGAACTGGCTTTTAAGATGGCTCCCATGCCTTGCCCTGCTGTCTCCCACAAGGCAGCAGCATGGGGAGTGGGAGGGAGAAAAGCAGGCTGGAGCTGGTACATGAAGGGAATTAACTTTCAAGCCAGCTCTCTGCACGTGTTGGCTCCCATGGAGCAACCTTCCCCTGGGCTGCTACTTTTGATACAGAGGCAGTAGTGCAGGGCTGGGAGGCAGATGGCTCCTGGGGAGCCAGCTCCCTGTCAGCACCAGCTCTCTCCTGCCTTCCTCCACCCTGTGTAAAAGTGTAACCGCTAAAAATTCAAATGGTTACACATTTACTCAATAACACATTCGTTAACATCCTTAGTATTAATACTATAAAATGATAATGTGTATTAAATATGCTACAACTTCAGTTTCCAGGAGGCAATCCAAGATTAAAAAGTAACAAATGCAAATTATGTTTCCTTTGTCTCTCAAGTTCACTTTGAAATTTCATTCTTATTCAAACAGTTCTCCTTATCCTTAAATGTGTTTTACAAGATTTCAATATTCAAGCATGTTTTCACCTGGTTTTTGGTCTCTCTTCCCCTCTAAATCACGTTTTGTTTTATACTGTAGTGAATAAACCTAAAAAGCATCAACAAAGTAGGTCTCAGATGCTCCAGGAAGTGCAGAGTAAGTTTAAAATTTTCAACTAGAGGATCTTCTTCTCCTAAATGTGCTAAGGTTTTTCTATGTTAAGTCAAAGGCTCAGTGTGGGTGAAGCCATATCTTTTATTGAACCAACATCTGCTGGCGAAAGAGACAAACATTCCAGCTACACAGAGATCTTTTTCAGATCTTCACATAAAAGGGTCAAGTTACTCTGTTTCAGAGAAGTGAACCAAAAATATAAGCAACCAAGGAGGGCAATAGCGCAAAACCTGCTTAAAGCAACTGGGCTGCTCTGGGTAAAATAGACATATTCTATAGATTGCAGCAGGCCAAAAGACTCTGGTCTTCAATATAAAAAACAAGAGATAGTATGATCCAATAACTCAGCCATGGGATAACAGGCAAGTTGAAAGTCACATGCGAGACTGACTAGAACAATCACTAATATCAGGCACCCGCTATATAGAAACACTATGATCCAACAATAGTCACAGGAATTCAACTTTTCTTCCTTTTCCTTTTGGAGCTATGAATTACTCTAAAGATCATATTAACCCTCAGCCCCCTTCAATAACATGAAAAATGTCACTGTTATGCAATTAGAGAGGCAGGCATCTGTTACCTCCTTTAGCTTTTCCACATCATCTTTCACTTTCTCATACAGATCATTAGCAGCTTTAAGTTTCTTGGTCCATTCTTCCACTGTTTCTGGGCCAGCGTGGTGCTCCTCATCTGTAGGCTGATGACTTTCTTCATTGGTGCTACCAAGACGCAAGGCTCCAGGATCCAAAACTGTTTTTAGCTGTGCTTCCAAGCCAAGATTTTTACCTCTTAGCTCTTCCACTTCTTTCTGCAAGGATTCTATTTCATCCTGAAAGTGTTACAAACCCAGGAAGCACAGGTATGCAACAAACCAGAAAAAGATATAAAAATTAACTGCTATTACCTCTGAATTTAATTCTCTAATGCCATATCTACTCTAGGAAAGTAATTTCGAAATTACTAAATTTGATGAAATAACTCCCAATTTAACAAATTTGAAATAGCGTATCCACATTATTGGAAAGTCTCAAAATCTGTCCAAGGCAGGCTCCGTTAATGTAGACACGCTACCTTGGACTCTCGCTTATAAATTTGACCTTGGAGAGGGAGGCTAATTTCAAAATAAAGCACTAGTGTAGACCAGAGCCAAGTACGTTACATATAGTACTATTACCCAAGATCAGCCCCCTGTCCACGGTCCAACATATGCAGAGGGCTGCTCCAGCCCCATGGGGCTACTGGCTCCCAGCCCATGTGGGCTCAGAATCGGCAGTCTCATGCAGGGCCGGAAGCAGCAGCTAGGGAAATGGAACACAACTGTAGCCCACCCCTTTTTAAATCAGTTAAGCAGTTAAACTTTACAGTTAACTAATTAAAAGGGATTTTTCATCCCTATTTTGGAAGGCTGAATTCTGGATTGTAGTTGAGGGTTTCAGCTATGGTCAGAGGAATTCCCTCTGACTACATACGGCAAGTGCATAAGACTGTATGTGGACACAGTGAAGCATTATCAATTTTAGTGCACATCGTGGGAGGCCAATTTCTACATAGTATGCTCACATGGACTGTCTGCTGCCTCATTTGCTACTGTTAGAGAACGAGAAAAGGGGAAGAGATCCCACAAAAAGCCTGGGTCTAGAAAAAGGCCTTGAGCTGCACATTTGGAAACAACGTAGGGAAAAACCTGTAGACTTCTATAAAATGCCAAAAACTAATAGGGTTGTGGAAAGGAAAATGGTTATGGAAAAGCCTCAGACCTTGACAAAAACTGTTCAAGTGCTCTCTCTATGGCTGACTGCACACATGCTCACATGGCTTAACTGCTATCTAAGGTAAGACTTCAGGAAGACGCACACTTTCAAAAATCTAGGTCTTTCATTGCCTCATAATTGCAAAAAAACCTGCAACATAACCAGATCTTCTGCACTGGATCCACCATATTTTAGACAGAAAGTATTCATTCATTTTTAGAGATTTATCCCCTTCAGTTTTTAAGTGTAATCACATTTGAAGGTGATCCAACAGGCTTATTAGGGATCCCTCTGGCTAGAGATGTGCCAGGGCCCAATTTTTAGGCTTTACCCAGATCCAAGTCAACCTGATCCAAGGATATGATGTCACTTTCTGACCAAACCTGCCTCTGACCCTTTCCTCCAAACCTGAGTAGGTGCTGCCACTTCTTGCTTGGGGTCAGCACAGCAGCAGCTGTGTATCTGCTGGTGGCTGGCCCCTGTGCGCTGCAAAGTGAGACACCTTGCCACTCCACAACACTTGAAGACTGCCTCCAGGTAACAGCACCTGCACTGCAGAAAGATGGTGGTAGCTGGCAGGAGCAAGGGCATGCTGTTACTCCTGTGCTGACCCCAGGGGCAGCAGAAGGAGAAGTGACCTGACCTGAGAGGGCCCAGCTCTTTCTCTGCTGGTCTCAGACTCAACGCTTGTAGTCGAGTGTCATCACCTGCAGGGCTCCTCCACAGAGAGCCCTTGCACGGCTCTTCCAAAGACCTCAAGAGTAGATGAAGGAGACCTGCTTCCACCTCCTTTAACTTCTTCACTAGGACACCACCACAGGTATCAGGGAAGAGTTTAAAATATGGAACATTTCTCTCTATGCTGCTCCTATCAGGTTCACAAAATCTGAAGAGAAGGTTGTAGGCAAACATGTGAACAGTGGTGGGCAGAGAACGAGTAGGCCAGGCATACCTGGTGTTGCGCTCAGATCTGCTGATTCTCCCCCTGTTCACAGGAGGTCTTTCATGGCAGCAGGGGAGCAGAAAAAAAAACCTGTTGAGTATTTTGTCATTTTAGAAGAACCCTGGATATTTTTCAATAAACGTGGTCCATATGAAAATGCAAAGTCTAGATTGGGAGATGAATCCACACAAATTCAAATCCTGTCCTAATCTTAAATCTCCACTGAAACTCAAAATCAGATTAGGAGAGAAGTTTGAGTTTCAGTATGGATTCACAATGAAACTCTTCTTAAGAGGAAAGTGTAAAAATTACAACAAAAAGTCATATGTAACAAGTAAAAGTTGTTCATCTGGAAATTATCTTTGCTGTTACCTCATATTCTTTGTGGAGCAGTTCAAGTCTGGTTTTACGAAGATGTTTTCTTACTGTAGGACTAAATATGGGATCACTTTCACTTGTTCCTCCTACAGCAATGCAAGATAAACAGTATTATTACTGGGTTTGTTTTTCAATCCAAATTCAAAGTTAGTAAAATACACCATCTTCTCAATGTGACATTAGATTCTTTTTTTGATGATAAAGAAAACTGTACTGCTATAATCCACTGCAGAAGGGAAATCAATTCTACATTTATCTAGAAAGATGGCTCATTTTGAGAGGAAGTTAGTATTCAAGCCTACGTTTTTGTTGTTTTGTTAGTAATCAAGCCTACGTTTTTGTTGTTTTACAAATTTAAAACAACAACAAAAATGCATAGCTAGTTGTAATACTTATTACGAACTTACCCTAAAATGTTCCAATTAAGCCTCCATATCAGGGAAGTTCCTTTTTCCCCTGGGGTTTCTGGTTCATTCTCTTGAGAGTGACATACCAGCCACAAACCAAGAACTAAAAAACTCTGCATCTTAAATAGCCTCCCTTTCAGGAGAGAATTTTCTGTTTTACATTCTCCCCCTCCATGGAAAGTTACCTGGTCAGCCCCTACCAGTTAGGGAGGTCACATGACTTCCTAAACTCAACCACTGCTAAGCCTTAAAGGACAAAAGGGGCTGTTTACAGGCGATCACCCAGACATTGACGGAAACACCCCGATGACTTTCATTTGCACATTTAAAACTATAAACCATTCCATGCTCCATAGTCCTAGCTCTACATACTAGAATGATACACACACCAAAATAAGATATACAGATCCAACAGATTAAGACAATAAAACTGACAAGTTACATGAGGTATTTTGTCTAAAGCATCTTCTAGTTATGCGTATTGGTATTCGTAAGTCAATTACATAAAGCACAGGGTGGCAGTCAGTCACAGGCATGTTATTTTAGTGGCTAACTGGCCCTTACCTATAATCTCCTTGCAGGGATTGTCAGAGGTGATAGGGATCCTGCAAGCCGGACACTGGCTATTGTTCTTCAGCCACACATCAATACAAATGGAACAGAATACGTGGTTGTTGACACAGATGACCGGATGGCGGACCTTTTTCAAAAAAGAGATTGTCAAATATTTAAAAGCTAATTTAAGTTTGTGGTTTCAGTCTATTACTACTGTCATTCAGTAGGTATTTGGATTTAACGATAAAAATGGATCAAAGGGCATTTTTCATAGTACCTTTCATTCAAAGTGACTCCCAAAGAATTCATAAACTAATATACAGATAACTGTGTTAAAATGCACTCACATCTAGGCAAGGACCACCTTGAGACGGGAAGCAATTGATTCACACAAGGAAAGATCAGGAAAGGTTTTTAGCAGAAGTCCAATCTCTGTTCTTGCAAGAATTGTCACTGGAGTATCTAGGATTAAGGGCTCACCCCCAGTCAACAAACTGCCAGGAAACAGACTTCAAGGATAAGGAGCTGAATCTACCCAGCGGAGATTTAAAGTCATGGTTCCAGAGATCACTAATCCATTCCTCTTACTAAAGATGTGAAACCAGTGTGTAAGATACTGCAAAGTAGCTCAGGGTGACTAACTGAAAACCCATACACCATGAACATTTATGTACAAAATTTCACTTAAATTCTTGGATAGAGTTCAACAAGATGTTTATGTTTTCCCTTCCAAAGCAACAAAGTACCAGGTTTACTGAAATAAGTGTTTAGAAAATATTACTAAATGTTTTTCACGCTCTCTTTCTCTGTTCAATTAAGTTCTCTTTATTTCCCAACATGATCAGGATTCAAAACTAACCATACTAGAAAGATTCTGCACTTCATTATGATAATTTACTTGTTACTGAAACTTCTGTTTGGGCTATATTTCAAAAATTAATTCATGCTCTCAAAACTCTTAAACCCTAACCCTGATACCTAGGCTTCTGAGACTTTCAGCTCACATAACAGTAAACATGAATAAAATAAAATCAGCCTCTTTCTCCATCCAAAATATCTACATTGGAAATAGACAAATACCACAAGAGATTGCACGTTAGTACCTAAAGCACAGGTAGGAAATAATTAAAACCAAAGGTCAAACAAAACAAGTATTTAAGAATCCATGGCAGCTTTATAAAATAAATTGTTCATTTGCAAGATTTTTCTTTTGCCGTATTAAGAAGCAATTCATAAAGAAAGAAATGAGAAGG